ACTGTCGGCCGAGCAACGAGGAAAGAGCAGGTCATCCGGTTCCATTTCTGATCATTTCCGAACCACCGGTATAATGGCTCGCCCCCGAACCCATCAACGATGAAAGACGATGAAAAACGGGGAGGGAGAAGCGAAACAGCCTCGAAAGAAGAAGAAGAAGAAGAAGAAGAAAAAGAAGAAAAAAGAGGGAGAAAAAGAAGAAGCGTAGGAAGAATCGTTCTGGTCCTCTGGATGGAGGAGAGGGGGAGGGAGGAAAGGTCCTCTTTGAGTAATGTCTTCCTAATTACAATCCTCGCGTTCGAAGCATAACACACGGCACTTGGTCTACCAAACGAAAACGGGTTTCTCGAATGGGTGGCTCGAACCCACCAGTCCAGAAAAACTGGCATCCTTAATTCATTATGCGGCTATAAAAAAGCTTTAACGGTCGAAATCTGGTGCAGAGGGCCATTCGCCGCTTCCCCCCCTGCCACGGCTTTCCATAGCTTTCTCCCTCCACCCCGAACTATTCCACTCTATTCCATCCATCCGGTAGCCGTCGTGTCGATGCACTGTCGTGAACTCGAGCATTCTCGACTCGAAAAGAGGGGAAAGGAAAAAAATAAATAAATAAATAAATAAATAATAATAATGATAATAAGAAAAGAGGAGGCTACTAGAAAGAAACTAAAGATCCCGCAGATTGATCACCCCTCGGTCGGGACGTGCGAATGTTTGCTAAATTACCAGGCTGTGGAACGGCGGCCACGGGTGGAAGGGAGAGCCGAAAGCGTATTTCGCGCGCGTTTAATGAAATACAGAGAATGAATCGTGACCGTGGTCGTTACGCTGCCCTCCATAATGACGGCACGCCTATAAACTGTAAATGTCCCTTAACATCGAGGGCAAACGAGGCCGATTGTTAACCCCCGAAATCCAATTAAATCCGCTGGGTGGTTGATTAACGGGACGAAGAAACATTGATAGAGAGAGAGAGAGAAGAAAGAAAGAAAGGGCTTTGCGCTAATGCGATGAAAATCTCTCTCTCTCTCTCTCTCTCTCTCTCTTCTTTCTTCGCGTCTCGCGTGCGAGAGAAATACGGATGTCCATCCGGAGTAGAGAAGAAGAGGGGGTGAATGGTACGCGCATAGGGTACAAAGGAAGTGTTTCTGATTATTAATGAAGTGTCTTTGTCTGGAACGAAACGTATTAACCGGCACGCTCACCTAAGGCAGGCGGCGCGTATTTATTACCGAGAATGAAAGGGATTTACTTAGATGCGTTTCCAACTGCTTCTTCTTCTTCTTCTTCTTCTTCTTCTTCTTCTTCTCCTCCTCCTTCACTTTTTCTACTTTTTTCACTCGCGGTTCGGCTTTCTCGTTTTGTTTATAGACGTTGTTCTAAATGAGCACGGGCAAGTGACTGATTGCGTTGGGGATGTTCGAGCGACTATTTCAACCGACGCTAGCGCCTCCTTTGTTCGATTTTGAGATTGCGATTGAAAGACAAATTTACTAGACACATAAAGCGAATTAACGCGCAAAATTACTTGGGACGATCCGTACGTGTACAATTTAAATGTAAGTAAATACAACTTGCTATAACTTTTATATACATACATATTTATATATATCTGTATATAATAAAAATTCTCCGCTGGAATAATTGTTTTCAATCGTACGTTTACGCGCGCGCGAAAGAGAGAGAGAGGGAGGGAAGAAGAGAGAGAGAGAAGGAGAGCGTCGACGTTAAATAAAAGGAGGGAGGGGAGGGAGGGAAAAATGCGGGGTTTTTTCTCGGACGGGTTAGCTCGATTTCCTTTTGGATTAACGGTGAACGGCTCTCTCGTTACCATGACCATTACCATTTTTCATGGTTTACGGGTGATCGAGCACGGCCACGGCCGTTTTCCACTTATTCCCGTGTCAACGTGACGCCGAGATGGGATTGACAGCGCGCGTTCCACGTCGACGCAATATCATAAATCGAATTCCAGCTGATAATACCATCGAGATAAAACCGCATCACGAAAGGTAGAGGCTCATGCCCGCGTAACCACGAGAAGAAAATCGTCGAGGTGTGTGGGCCCCCATGCTGGCTTCTCGATTCCTCTCCTCGCTATTAATTAAACCGCGACTACTGCCTGTCCGCTCGTTAATTATCCGCCCATTTTACCCATCCTATCTCTGCGATTTTCACCGCATTTTTCCGCATTTTCATCGATTTTTCTTCGCGTGTCCGTGACGGATCCGGGCATTATACTTATCGACGATAATTACATTTTATCGTTCGACACGGCGTGCACACGAGATTGAGAGATTTTTCTCGAATTTATGGTAAATTGAAACTATAATCTAATCCTTAGCTTCTCAAAATTCTAACTCGTAACTAATTTCGATTCGATCCAAGAAAGTTTACCATTTACCATTGAATGATAACGGAAGAGCCATATATAAAAAAAGAAATTTTTAGATTCGTTGCTAAAGAGAATTTGAAATTCCACTTCCATCCGAGAGATTTTTCTCGATAATTTATGATAAATTGAAACTATAATCTAATCCTTAGCTTCTCAAAATTCTAACAATTTCGATTCGATCCAAGAAAGTTTACCATTTACCATTGAATGGTAACGGAAGATCCATATATAATGCTAGAGAGAATTTGAAATTCCACTTCCATCCGAGACTTTATTTCGATCGACACGCGCGTCTTCTGCGTAACGCGTGTCGCGAAAAAAACGCGTGGCGAATCGATAAACACGCGTTCGTTATTTTCCCCTGCTCGAGGAGGAGGAAAGTGGAGTGGTTGGGCGTCGATGAAAGGGTTCAAAGGAGGGCCGATCGGAGGAGGATCGCTTTAGAGACAATTGTCGATCGATCGGTATCGTAACGCGTGTAACGTGTACTTGGAAGCATAAATTCTCGCCGGACCATCAATTATGCCGGGGGAATTATTAATAATCGTCGCTGCCACGCTGAGACTCCAAGACGAGAGGAGAACTCGTTCCTCCAGGAAGGAAGGAAGGGTGGAGAGGGGGAGAGTGGCCCCTAAGAATGACACAAGTTCGCCTCCATGTACACATGTGTGTATGTGTGTGTGTGCGTGTGTGTGTGTATAGGGAAGGGAAATAAGAAGAAGAAGAAGAGAAATCGAAGTCCAGCGAGCGGATACTTATTACGGTGCAGCGCACCCTACAGGTGTTCGAGCGGAATGCTTTGAGAGAATCGGATCTCGCGAATGAAACCGAGATGCTTCTGGAAGGTTCTGAAAAGAGGATGCTCTTCCCTTTCAGGGCATTCATCTTCGTTGACCCACTATTGAAACACACGCGAGTGTAATTTCGACAAATTTATATATTCTTTGCTTGGACAATGGGTCCATGTCGATGGGGTTCTCGTTGAAAATTTTTTAACAATAATTCTTCCAAATTCTCCAAGCTTTTCTTCTCTTCTTCCGAGTCCTGACGCTTCGAATATTTTCAGAAAGGATTTGGTTTAAGTTTCACGAGAAGAAAATTGCGGTCTCGAAATATTCGAGAAAGAAGGAGAGGAAGGAAGAAAATTTGTGGAATTTAATTGGAACGCGTTTCCCACAATGGAAGGAAAGGAGAGGACAAAGAAATCGACTTTGTTCGGATATATTCAGATAGGATCGAGGATTCCTCCTCGTTCATGATGGATCAATCACGATCGACGACGAGGGTAATAATAAGGGGAGAAGAACGAGACGAAGTTACAACCGAAATTAATCGATCGAAATTGATCGATTTCGGTCCGCCGGGATTTCAATTTGATCGAATCCCCGTGGGGGATTTCGCGCAATGTATTCTCAAAGTATTAATCTAAAATTATCGCTCTCCATCTTTAATAAAAATCTTTAATAAAAATTCTCGAGAGAAAGCCTTTTGCCACTTTGTTGCGAATCGTTTAATTAAAAGTAAAAAAGAGAAAAGAAGAAAAGATCATCGCACGCATATAGAGGGCGAGTCATTGACTCAACCAACCTCGTCGAGACGAATTTTTATGCCAGACGTCAAAACCGATCATTTATATTTCGAGGCTAAGCAGGCACAATGGCGGCGATGTATCGAGCTTAACGAGACATTGTGCGTTTCGGATCGTTTCATCACCAAGATTTTAACGAGTCACGAATATTTAGATATGGGTGTTCCTTTCGACTAAAAAATCACATATCCGTCGTAATTTAACGAGAAAAAATATTTCGTTCAAAAAATTCTTAAAAATTCTTAAAAGAAAATAGCGTAGATAATGGAGATATCTCGAGGTTGAATTAATTTTCTTCGCGTAAAATTCTATCTTTTTATTTTTAACACCCCGTATAATCGATTCTCTCGATTAAATATTCTCTGCCCACGCGATCAACGCGTTGTTAACAGGGTCGCGCAAAGTACACGAGCAACGACGCGAGATTGGATGAAAACGATTAAAAAGAAAAAAAAAAAAAGAGAGAGAGAGAAATTGTTAACCGATGTATTAACCTTCCGCGACCGGTCATCGAGGTTTGATCTTATCAATATCTCGATCGAGACTCGGACGAGGGAACATTGTTGGCTGATGAAATTACGATATAACGATGATATAAAGAGAACCGCGAAGGAATTTCATCTATTTACGACACGTGTTTGGTAATTACATATCGAGATTAAATATTATTTAATTTTTTAAATACGATAAATTTAAATCGATTTCTATTATAGAAAGATATCTCTAATTGGTCAAATATCGAACGCGGGGATTCATTTATTCACTCGAACATTTATTTACAACGTAGCTCGTACGCTTCGATAAAATCTATGGGATACGATCTTCGAGATATTTTTCTCGTTCACGAGCGAAATCATCGTTCTCGAATCGAGAGAATCATTAATAACTATGCCGGGCGATCGTAATGGATCGTAAAGGGAGAGAAAGAAAAAAAGGCTTTCGTTTCGAGATCACTTTCGCAACCGTAATCTTAATATCTTTCACGAGTTAAAAGAGAGAATGAAAATGATTACTCACCCTGCTCGCACTCGTCGATGTCCTCCGAGCAGTCGACCCCCTTGTAACCGGTGGCGCAGGAGCAAGCGAACGATCCATTGACCGGGCTTGTGTCGCAGATCGCGCCCTCGTGGCAGGGATTCGAGGTGCAAGCGTCGTCGAGATGGCACAATAAACCTGAAACAAAGATATTTTATCTTCCTATTGTTGAAGAAGAATGAAAGAATGCAAGACACGTAACGGCGACGGTGGTTGCCGCCATTTTGAAGGGGACCTGAATAATATATACTGTGCACCGTTTCTAGGACAAAAGTGTCGATCGTCGAACGCCAAACATGGCGTCAACGGCCAAAGATGGACATCATTAAGACCTGGTACGCAAGTGGTTAACGCAACTCGGCTGGAAATGTTACACTCTCGTATGCGAGAGGAAGAGGAAGGAGAGTGACAAATCCCAACGATCTACGTCGATCCACGTTTCGATAAATTACTGGAAATACCAGGGGCGAGAGGGGCAGAGAGCTTGAACGATAAGCCTAGGTCTAATTGGTCCGCGCAAACAGCCGTGGAAACTCGTGGAATTTCGATTGGAATTGCGTCGAGCAAACTCCGGGTGATGCGCGTAAAAGTAAATAAACGGGATACGTCGAGCTGTGGTGTAATTGAATTTGCCGATTGGTGGTGCACGCCGGTATCTCGCGATATACTCAAAGAAGAGTTTCGTTCCTGGAAACTGTTTCAAAAAATTTATCCCTCGATTAATGGATAGATACTATTAAGGAGTTGCAAAGGATATAAAAGAACGTTAATTCCAACTATTCGAACGGAATTAAAATAGTTGCGCGTGATGGATGATCCAATGCAGAAGATTTTGTAAGAAGAATATTCTCAAAATGGGCTTCGACTTTTTTGCAGTAGTTTTCTTCGAGATTTTCTTACTTAAGATTTTTATTTTAACTGCAAGTATTATTTATTAATCAATTATCTATTGATCTAAAATTTCTATACTTTTCTTCTTGAGAATTTTCAAAAAATGGATTAATCAACTAAAGATTGCAAAATAATTTTTGGACTTCTTCACTTGGATTATTTTTATTACTCGTTTAAAATTTATTTCATTCATTGCATACGAGAAAGAGCGTAACAATGCTTTGTTGGTCACCGGGAACAATGGGTTTCGGTGGATCCCGATTAACGGGACACGGACGTCTAGAATGTTCGCATATAAAGCGAGGAGAACGAGGAGGCAGATGCACAATTACACCCGCGAGTAACTGTAACCATCGCGTCCATACGCGCAAAGAAACGAGCGCTTCAACGCGATGGCTCTCGAGATTCTTGATATTTAACTTTATATAAAGAACACGCCTCGCTGAAATCGTTTCGAGGATAACGAGATCGTAAATCCGGCGAGATACATCGAAAAACTTCTTTTCGAATCTGTTTCGGGCCTCCCGTCGTACCGTAATACTTTGTCGTTACGAATAACGAATAATTTGGGAATTTCGTACGTGGTAAATGTAAATTAACGAAGGATGATCATCAAATTTATTACGGGATCGGGCAGGAAAGAAGGAGGATGGTACCGTTATTTTCTTTAAACATTTCTTTCGCATGATTCTAATTTGAAAATTTAACGAGAAGAATGTGGATTTTTTTTTTACGCATTTAAAATAATTTTATTACGTACAATTATCTCCATAAAATTATATACATAATTGCTATTTCATCTGAAAAATATTTATTCAGAAATTTTCTATATATATCCGTACATAATATCGATACGAATCATCGTATACGATATTACGAATCATTATCAGAAGGAAAATACGTACGTGCACAAAAATCCACGATAAATTTAATAAATCTCGAGTATCAGAGAAAGAAATAACAATTAATTAAATTTCTCGAACGATTTCGCGGAAAATTTAATTTCACGTTTATTTAAATTCATCCTCCAAAAAGTTCCACGCGAACTCCGAGAAACCGATAAAATTATTCCATGCTCCTTTTAAAGCGACCACCGAGTAACGAACCGAGTTCATTCGTTCAGCGAAAACGGACAAAAATCGCTTAGAACGGAGGAAAGAAACGACGCATCGTTCGTTCTGATTGCTCTTCCCCTTTCCCTCCCTCTTCCCTCCCCCCTCCCCCAAAACACTGGAGAGGCTCGGCTTCTAAGGCGC